ATGCTAACTATATTACAAAATTTAACCCATGAGTGTATGTTTGACTCAAGTAGTATATATTGTTCCATACTCACATTAGTAGCTAATGTAGATGCATTAGTTAACTTGCTTTTGTTTTCAACATCTTTCATATATGCATCATTATTGGCATTTTGTTTTCAACCTATATACTATATTTTTACCAACTTTGACCACTAAATATACTTTTAATCAGTTGAGTATAACAATATTAATAATACATAAAAAATAAGCCAAAAATGGAAATCAAAATACTTCATTAAACGTTGTAAATTTAGATTGCTAGTATAATCAATACAATTTGAAATAATTAATTTTCAATTAAGGGAAAAAAATAAAAATTGCCGATAAAATTAATTACAAGTATGACAATGAAGGAAAAAAAATGAAACGAAGAGAACTATTTTTGCGTTGAAAGGTGAATCACGTTCCCAGTAATATATATATATATATATATATATATATATATATATATATATATATATATATATATATATGACCCACCCCAAAATGATTTCACTGTCTAATTTTAAACTCAACTGATTTTCTTGCATAACTCTAGCAACTCCTTCTCTAGCATCTCTCTAGATGATGGCATTTCCTCAAAATCTATTCCTTCTTACAGAGACTGTTATGTCTTTTACAACAAGATCCTTAATGATGTTAAGGTAATTATACTTCAAAACACAATTTCTGTTATTCTGTATAAAATATATGTTATGTTTGATTGTTTGTTCTTTTCTCAAGTTTTAGCATTCCATATTACCAAAGCAAGAATATATGTCGTGTTTGATTGTTTGCTCTTTTCTCTTGTTATAGCATTTTAGATTCTCTAAAACAAAAATGTATGTTGTGTTTAATCGCTTGCTCTTTTCTATAATTGTAATGTTTTAGGTTACTAAAACAAAAATGTATGTTGTGTTTGATTGTCTACTCTTTGTAGTATTTCATATTACTAAAATAATAATTTACCCTATTTGATTGTTTGTTCTTTTATCTAGGTGTAGTATTTCAAATTATTAAACAAGTTAAATCATAATCATTGAAATGTGTTAGGCTTCCTAGAGTTTAGTTTTAAATGAATGTCAATTAAGTTAATTAACACATGTTTTTCTCTTTTTATTTATTTGCACAATGAGATTATAGATGATCATTGTCTTCAAAATTTGATGCGAAATCCAATTCCTTGCACCGCCAAAGGATGGAGACAAATTCCGGGAATGGAGTTAGGGACAGAGAACACCATCTCTGTCCCGCCCACCCCCAAACCAATATAAATACATAAATGAATGTGTGTGTGTGGTGTGTGAAAGGCTATAGTGCCCATCAATACCATGTCTCATTATACAAATTCAGTTAAAAAGTGTGGAGACAATGTTGACTTTGTACTCTATACAAATTCAAAGCCTAGGGGGTGATATTGTATATAAGAATAAAACATGTGTCGATCGACACCTTCGATTTTTTCGTGTGTGTGTGTGTATATATATATATATATATATATATATATATATATATATATATATATATATATATATATATATATATATATATATATATATAAGAACAATGTCTCCTATATAAAAAATGTGGAACAATCAACAATCCCATTCGTCCACCAGTGTTGATCTAATGGTGTAACTGAATTAACTTATTTATTTATTTTTTTCTTTTTTAGTGCATTTATATTTTTTGTTTTATTTTTAATCTTCCCATTATTTACATATTCGCCACCCATGTTTTGTATTCATTTGGAGTTGTTGAATTGCTGCGATTTATCGATGTAATATTTCTAATTTTTTACATGGAGCATTGTTCTTATGGAAACTTGCATACACACAAACAACCCTATCCTTTTAGACTTATTCTCTTAGTTTGTTTGTTTGTTTTTTAATAATTAATTTAGTATTGGTGTTGACAATGGAATTCAAAGAGACATGAGAAAGATGGAAAAAAGTTGTTAAAGAATGATTATTTATTTATTTTTTGTAAAATAATTTAATTGTTACTTCGTAATTTTTTTGTTGTTTTGTTTTTTATGATGATTGAGAATTTTTTGTCCATAAATAATCCCCCATGAACATGAGATGGCGAGGGGATTTGGAGACGGGATAAAGATTTCATCATGATCATCCCTACTTCGGATGAAGGGGAGTTGCATTGCCATTTCCCATCTTACTTCTATTTCTAACTAAGGGTGTGTTTGGAAACCCGGAAAATGACTTCTGGAAGTCATTTTCCGGGTTTTTGGTGTTTGGTTACATTGGAAAATGACTGGTCAAAGGAAAATGGGGTGGAAGTCAATGGAAAAGGAAGGCAATTTTATGGAAAATGACTTCCCCTTTTTTTTTGGGGGAAGTCATTTTCCAACTTTTACACCAACATCATCAACATCATACCACCACCACCACCACTACCAACATACCACCATCGCCGCCATCACCACCATACCACCGCCACCACCACCACCATACCACCGTTGCCACACCACCACCATCACACCACCTTCGCCGCCGCCGCCACCACTACCACCATACCACCGCAACCACCGTCGCCACCACTATCGTCGCCGCCACTACCACCATACCACCGCAACCACCGTCGCCGCCATCACCACCATACCACCGCCACCACCACCACCATACCACCGCAACCACCGTCGCCGCCACCACTACCGTCATACCACCGCCGCCGCCACCACCACCATACCACCGCAACCACCGTCGCCGCCACCACTACCGTCATACCACCGCCGCCGCCACCACCACCACCGCCACCACCACCACACCACCGCCGCCACCGCCACCACCACCATACCACCGCCACCACCACCACACCACCGCCGCCACCACCGCCACCACCACCATACCACCGCAACCACCACCACCACTACCACCACCATACCACCGCAACCACCGCCGCCGCCACCACTACCACCATACCACCGCCGCCGCCACCACCATACCACCGTCGCCGCCACCACCACCACCACCACCACCACCAATTATTATTATTATTATTATTATTATTATTATTATTATTATTATTATTATTATTATTATTATTATTATTATTATATAACGAATAACACCACTACCACTACACCACCACCACCACCATAATATTTTTGATATATTATTAGTTTTTTTTTTTTGTTGAAAAACTTAGCTATTTTTTATTATATTTAAAATTAATATTATATTATATTATTATATATTATTATACATGTTGTAATATTCTAAATAAAATAATTAAAATGTTTAATTATACAATTCTACTCATTTTCCAGAAAATGAACCAAACACACAAAAACAGTTTTCCAGAATGCAACCAAACACCGGAAAGGAAAATGTTTTCCGGAAAATGACTCATTTTCCAGAAAACATTTTCCAGAAGTCATTTTCCTGGGTTCCAAACGGACCCTAAGTCATCAACGAAATAATTAATTGAAGTATAGAGAAATGATTATAATAGATAAAATGTGATGTTTGGTAAATAGTTGTTAACTTATTAAGTTAGTGAGTTTGACTAGTTGATAGGATTAGGGAATTGTAAAAAAGTGTTTGGTAAATTAGCTGTTAGTTGATAGCTGATTATATGTTAAAAAAAAAAAAAGGAATAAGGGTCAAATAGGCCATTGAACTGTACACGAAAATGCAATTAGACCACTGAACTTAAAAAACCTACAATTGAGTCCTTAAACTAACCAATTTCATTCAATTTGTCCATTTTTCAAGTTTCTCAAGTTGCTAACAAGTTATCCCTCCACCTAGGATGCATATGTGGCATTTTTTAAAAAAAAAATAAATTATTTTTAAATTAATTTTTTTAATATTTAATAAATAAAAACTAAAATAATTTATTTTTAAATCAGTTTTTTTAATGTTTAATAAATAAAATTAAAAATTTTTTTTAAATAAAATAATTTGTTAAGTCGTACAGGGCTTGGATTTTATTTTCAAAAAAAAAACAAATTATTTTAGTTTTTATTTATTAAACATTAAAAAAAAACTAATTTAAGGTGTTCAAAAAAAAGAATTTAAAAATAATTTTTTTTAAATGCCACATATGCATCCTAGGTGGAGGGATAACCTGTTAGCAACTTGAGAAACCTGAGAAATGTACAAATTGAATGAAATTGGTTAGTTTAGGGACCCAATTATAGGTTTTTTAGGTTCAGTGGCCTAATTGCATTATTGTGTGCAGTTCAGTGGCCTATTTGACTCTTATTAAAAAAAAAAAAAGTTATAGCTGATTAGATGTGAAAAAAAAAAAGTTATTTTCAACTGCTTTTTGAATTTTAGCATTTTGAAGCAATAAACTGTTACAAAAAACTAATTAATCAAACATTCATATTGATTGTTTAATCAAGTCAAACAATTAATAATGGTCAAATAAATCAAAATTGGGTGATAAGCTAACTACGTTATCAAACAAGACCAAAGATCAAATATGAATGAGTTAATTCTATTTTTGGTCCTAAATTTATAAGTGATAATCCACTTTAAGTCTTTTTATCTGAACATATACTTTTGGTCATAGTATTATTATAACATGACCATTTATTAACAAAATAATTTAAATATCCTTAAATACAAGGATATTTCAGTCTTCAATTATAAATTTTTTCAAAAACATAAATATAAACAATATAGCGGGTCAACCTATTTTGTATAAAAAAAGATCAAAATGTCTTTATATTTAACGCCATTTAAACGATTTTGTCTACGAAAGACAAAAAATGATCATTACATAATAATACTACTAGAACCAAATGAGAATGTTTTAATAAAAATGGCTAAAAATAAAATATCACCATGACAAAAAATAGAATTAATCCAATATAATTTTTTAAGACGAGGGTTACAAGTGAAAAAGCTATTATATTCGAAGGATTTTTTGAATGAAAATCAAAATTATATAATATATACACTTTATACTAATTAAGTGGATTGAATCCAAAATCTGCAATTCCCATTTCCCATCTCCGGTACAGGCTTAACCATCACTAAATGAAGCCTTTGGCTGACTGCGGAGAAGATGCCAATCAGTCTTAAAACACAATTGAAAAGAAATCATTCTTTTGTTATTATTAATCAATTATTTATTTTATTATAATTAATAATAAAAGTTGAGTCCAGTATCTATGAATGAGAGAGAAGGAACAGTAAAGCAGTTTATAGATAGGGATTTCAGTTGGTGATGGTGTTGGGGAGATTGGGAGTGACGGATAGTGGCAGCGGCAGTAGCAGAGGCGGCGGCGGAGGAGGAGGAGGAGGAGAAGGAGAAGTCATTCCCAAGCAACGGCACCAACCGTCGCCGGTTGTGACGGTGGCGACACTATTCATTTCCTCATTGATGTTCGATTTCTTCTCCGATGGTCGACACGTCTTCTTTGCGGAGGCCAGTGGAGGTGCCGGTGGGGGCGGTGGTTATGGCGGTGCAGGTGTGCATTGGGTGTCCGGTGGAGGAGGCTCGCCTTCCAATGTTGGAATAGCTGTCGCCGTTACGGCCATGGCCGGTCTCGCCTTGGCCGCGACTCTCGTCTACTCTCGTAGGTAAAACATTAGGCTTCAGTTTTGGAAATTCTATACTATATCATCAGCTGAGACCTTAGAAAATTTGAAGGAAGACAGATAATAACCAATCGATCTATCTAATGGATCCAATCCAATTATTGACAGAGCTGATACTCTGATAGATAGAGATACTATAGGTTTATCAGTTTATTTATGTATAGATAGATATTGATACTACGGAAAATATCAATGAAGACTTTGTGGCGGAGTTACACTTCCTCATCACCCCCTGCAAATTCGTCCTCATCACTAACATCACCCTCACGGATTTATGTAAGATAAGTTTGTTTTTAGTTGTTACCTTGTCATCTTCATCTTCATCCTATTCAATTTCTACTGATAGGTGAGTTTCACTCTCTCTTTCATTCCCCATCTTTCAGTTATTGTTCCTTTCTTATCTGAAAAAGAAGAGTGGGGCTTCCAGTTTTTCTTTTCCAGGATCTCATTCCATAGTTGCTTTGCTATCCATCTCTTATCTTTCACCAGAACCTTTGAACAATTTGGTTTTGTTACTCTGAACTGATCTGCTGCCTGGCTTGGAAGTTTGAGCAGGGAGAACATTAGTCCTTTTCTACTGGATGTTTGGGGGGAAGTGTTTCCTTTTGGCTTTTCCCTCTCCCTGTTGGGAACATAGATTAAGTTTTACGGAATGTATATGGTTTTATGTGTGACTTCTTAGCTTTGCCCCCCTGTTGGCTTCATGATTTCATGGGCCTGAAATATATGGTTGTATGTGTGACTTCTTAGCTTTGCAAATTATTAGAGTAATTTTATCGCTGTGCCTTTCCAATCTCATTGTCTGCTTCTTTTTCTTTTCCAGTTTTAGTGTTTCAAATTATCTTCTGCTTGAGTAAGAACTGTGCATCCGATGTCTCTTTATGCAGGGGAAGCCTTAAATCACCTTGGTCCCAAAGGCAAAGGAAAGATGCCCTTTTGCCAACAGAATGGAGTAATTTATTTGATGAAGATGGGAGATTGATTGACGGTGGGGTGAGGTTTTTGAAGAAAGTCAGAAGTGGAGTATGTTCCATTCTCATATATATTGTTGTGCTTGTGTTTGTCTGTTCTTTTCATGTTTAAATCTGCTGCATTCCTTTTTCTAACTTCACTTTCCTATCCACATAATTTAAACTCCAACATGTGACAGGGTGTTGATCCAACTATACGGGCAGAGGTTTGGCCATTCCTTCTTGGAGTGTATGTATCTACACTAATATTTATCTTCATTCACATAGCTAGCTTTCGCAATTGGATTTGCTTTCAACAATCGTACTTCAATTTCTTCAATCATAGCTTATAGTGGTTGTGAGATTTGCTTTGGTTGCCTGCAACTGCAGAACTTTGTGCTTGAACTTAGTTTCTCTCAAAAATTTGGTTAAGGATTAGAAAAATAAACCTAATGTGCTGTTATGATTTCCTAAGTCCTTTTCTGACAATAATAAAGTTTTCCCTATTTTCTTTATCCCCTTATTTAATTTTAAGGGAAAATGGCAGTTTTAGTCCATTAGTTATACCTAAATTGTAGACTCAGTCCATGAATTATTACCCTATACAAATTTGCCCCTTTAATTATGTTGGAACTTGAAAGTGGTAGTTTCAATCCATTACTTATATATTTTGTTAACATTAACAATTTATTTTGAATTTCCAAATTATTAAAGGATATATTGGTCATTTTTTAAAACTTTCTCAAATTCCCTCAATGAATCTTCATATATATGCTACTGTTATTGCAAAACCTTTGCAAAATACTTGTTTGTCTTGATTGAGGAAGAATTTGATAAGCAAAAATGACAAGCAAGAGATTACTTAGGATTGAAGATACACCGAATTGTAAGTTTATATGTTAGTTTATTACAATTTTTCCTTTTGTTGTATGTAAATTACTCTCTTTGATATCTCATTGAGTTCATACCTTAATGGGTAATATATGCAATTTAGTTATTTTAATATGTTAATTGATTGTGTGTAGAGGTTTATACAAAAGGTGAATGCAATGGATTACTATTTTAATCTAAATAGTATTTTTGTGTATTATTGTATTTCGTTGGAGATGCAATCCTTTTTTTACCATATCATGACGATGGTTTTAGATTTAGTGGAAGTTGGGTAGATGAGATAATTATCTTTATTGGTCTTTAGATGAAGCATATAATGAAAAAAAACATGTAATTATCTAGCGTCCACCAATTAGTAGCCAATACACTCAGGAAGATTTAGTGCAACCTCCAACATTTGTTATTAGTCAGCCACCTCAAAAAATAAGACTAACAAAAAAGCAACAGTATCATTCTAAATTTAAGAAGCAAAATAATTGTTTTTTTGCCTGTTAAACCATGTAACTCAGGTTATCATTTTGTTGTTTTCATGCATATTAAACCATTTGCAAATTAGGTTGTATTTTGTGCAACCCAGGGATGTTTTTGGTTGTTTTGGTGTCTGTTAAACAGGTGCAACTTAGACTATTATTTGTGCAACATATGAATTATGATGTTATTTTGCAGTAGGAGTAGCATTTATATATGAAGAAGATTCATGGAGGGAATTTGAGAAAATTTTACAAAATGACCAATATGTCCTTTAATAATTTGAAAATTCAAAATAAATTGTTAATATTAACAAAATCTATAAATAATAGATTGAAACTGCCACTTTCAACATAGTTAAAGGGAAAATTTTATATAATATAATAATTCATGGACTGAGTCTACAATTTATGTATAACTAATGGACTAAAACTGCCATTTTCCCTAATTTTAATGTTTTCTACTTATCCGACCACACCTCATTGGCCCAAAAAAGAAAAAGGAGAAATAAAGTATAAAGTATCAAAAGTGAAATGCCAGTGGGCTGTGACCAATTATATGAGATCATTTAGTTTGTTCTATCTTAATAACAGTAGTCATTTTCTTGGGATGGGTTGGGTGCTTACTTTTAACTCATCGCAACTAAAGCAGCATATTCACTCTAATGTCTTTATAGCATCATCTTGTGTTAATATGAGGCTTTTTGTCTGTAATTTTTTGTGCTGTTATTTCATCCTTGGCCATGGATGTGTTGGAGAGTTACAATCTAGGACCAAGATAGTGCCAAAGTATGACTATTTTGTCATTACATTTCTTCTATCCCATATATTTGTAAAAGAGCATAGCAAAGTACTTGTCAGAAGGAGGAAAACATGAGGGTAGATGTTGTTGATTATTTATTTATTATTATTAATTTTTTTTTTTTTTTTTGGGTTTTTGGTCTGTTCTTCACCAACTATTTGTCAATTGGATAACTTTAGCACAAATAATGAGGAAAGTGAAATGCAAATGTTGTCGATGCAGTTATCTGATCAAATTTTTTTTTGTGACCAATTATATGAGATCATTTAGTTTGTTCTATCTTAATAACAGTAGTCATTTTCTTGGGATGGGTTGGGTGCTTACTTTTAACTCATCACAACTAAAGCAGCATATTCACTCTAATGTCTTTATAGCATCATCTTGTGTTAATATGAGGCTTTTTGTCTGTAATTTTTTGTGCTGTTATTTCATCCTTGGCCATGGATGTGTTGGAGAGTTACAATCTAGGACCAAGATAGTGCCAAAGTATGACTATTTTGTCATTACATTTCTTCTATCCCATATATTTGTAAAAGAGCATAGCAAAGTACTTGTCACAAGGAGGAAAACATGAGGGTAGATGTTGTTGATTATTTATTTATTATTATTAATTTTTTATTTTTTTTTTGGGTTTTTGGTCTGTTCTTCACCAACTATTTGTCAATTGGATAACTTTAGCACAAATAATGAGGAAAGTGAAATGCAAATGTTGTCGATGCAGTTATCTGATTTTTGTATGTGTTGTTTGGAACTGAACTAGATTTTGACAATGCCTTAACTATTTGAAGATTTATTCCAAGTTACTGTTGTTGCCAATGTGCCTAGTAGTAGCTGTGAATTGTTGTTCTTTTCTCTTATATCATACCATTGAAAATGTCCATTGTTTTAAGTGGCTATTAAGTTGTGATAGGCTATTGTTGATTGGGTGACTTTTAGTTGTGTATCCATATGTTAATTGGTTGTTATACATCGCTCACCATTGTGTTGAACCAACCAAAAAAAGTGGCTATTAGGTATTGCTAATTGGTAGTTCTTATGTTCACTGGAAATTTGATTATCAATATCACTCATGCACACAGTTTTTATCCTTACTGGGTTCTCTATGTCTGCAGCTATGATTTGGAGAGTTCAAAGAAAGAGAGAGACAACATTAGAACTCAGAAGAGGTATTTCATTCAAAAATTGCCCATTCACATTCAAAGCAAGATTTTTACATTATATAGATTTTGAAGACAGAAACCTTACTATGTTCATTTGCTCATCCATTCATAGGATGGTTATCCTTATCCCCTCTTTGTTCTATTGTAGTTCAAGCTTTCATCATTTTTAAAAAATGTTAACTTACTGCAGAAAAGAGTATGTAAATCTGCGAACAAAGTGCAGACAGATGTTAAACAATTTGAGTTTTAAGTTGAAGGAAAGTTCTGGAAATGACAATAATGATGAAAGTGGTGATTTTAGTCCAGTTCTAAATTCTCTCTGTATGGAAGAACAAAACCTCTCCCAAGACCCTCCTGCCTTTGATAATGAGGATCAGAAAAGTGAAGAGCCTACTAAAACTGCATCCAATCCAATACACGAGGGGTCCAAAGAGTCTACTATAACTGCATCTGGTTCAATTCTTGAAAGACCCAACTCATTAGTGGAGCCGGAAGGTGACAATGGCAGGATTGTAGATGCAAATATTTCTGGAGAAGAATATCTGTCATCCAACTCTGATTCCTCCGAAGAGCCTGATGGAGAGCAACCTCTCCTTTGTGATCAGGATTTTGAAGAAACTGATGGTGATGACCAAACTGGCAGATCAGAAAGCTCACTACCATCCAACAGAGTAGAAGATTTTGCAACATGGCAGCGCATCATACGTGTTGATGCTATTCGAGCAAATGATGAATGGATTGTATATTCACCTTCGCAGGCGGCAGTTTCTGTGGCCAAGGCACGCCAATTGGCTGAGAGTGTGGGATTGAGGGATTATGATCATTTGGAGGCGTGCAGGACTTTTCATGCAGCTCGCCTAGTTTGCATCCTTGAAGCTTATGCTATGTATGATTCTGAGATTGGATACTGCCAGGGGATGAGTGATTTACTCTCTCCCATTATCTCAGTGATTGAGGAGGATGATGTAGCCTTCTGGAGCTTCGTTGGTTTCATGCGGAAAGCACGGCATAACTTCCGTCTTGATGAGGTAGGGATCCGGAGACAGCTAAGCATTGTGTCAAAGATCATAAAGTGCAAGGACTCTCATCTTTACAAACACTTGGAGCAGCTGGAAGCAGAGGATTGCTTTTTTGTGTATAGAATGGTGGTAGTTCTTTTCAGGAGGGAGTTGAACTTTGAACAGACACTTTGCCTGTGGGAGGTGATGTGGGCTGATCAGGCAGCCATTAGGGCCGGAATAGGGAAGTCAAGCTGGGGGCGCATGAGGCTTAGGGCTCCTCCCACAGACGATCTTCTTCTATATGCAATAGCTGCTTCTGTGCTGCAAAGGAGGAAACTGATCATAGAGAAGTATAGCAGCATGGATGAAATTATGAGGGAATGCAATAGCATGACTGGGAAATTGGATGTTTGGAAGCTTTTGGATGATGCCCATGACTTAGTGGTCACCCTGCACGATAAGATTTAGCATTCCCTTTGGTTAACTTGTCTTCTTAATTTTACCTTACCTTACCTAGTTGAAGACTTTTATTTTTTTTTGTCTTCCATTCGGTATCCTCCTCCTCAGTGCTTGGAACAAGTGTTTTATAGGTGTCCATTCAGGACCATATTTTTAAAGTAAAACAAAAATCATCTTGTCAGCATTATTAACTACATATTTGATAAATACACCATACAAGGTAAACCAATCTGCACAACATATACAACCGTAACCCTAACACAAATCCCTGTGTGTGTGTGTGTGTACTTGAACTATGAAAATAAAAGCATACCTGGTTTCGCAGTGGAGTCTGTTGTTTGTGGAAGTGTGCTGAGCAACAACCTAATACACAGGTGACCTATGTGTTCTTTCTGCAATATCAAATGATACGTAAATAAAGTAAATTGAATTTTTAAGAGTTAATTATTGAAATGGTCTTTTGACTATAGCTAAATTATTAATTTGGTTCTTGACTATTTTTTTTGACCAATTAAGTCTCTCAACTTTAAAAATCTTAACCAATTTTATTCTTTGTTTGTTTGACCGTTAAATTGAGACCAAATTGGTAATTTTGCTATAATCAAGGAACCATTTTGATAATTAACTTTATGGGTGAGCAATTCAGTTAAATTTTTTTGAACCGAACTAGTTTGGTTCGGTAATATACCGAACAACCGAACGGTATTGGATTCTTGTATACCAAACTATTCGATAAAAAATCGATCCGAATTGTTCGGTAAAAAATTGAACAAAACCGAATACCATTTAATTTTTTTTAAATAATAATAATAATAAATAAATAAATAAATAAATAAATAAAAAGTAAATCCAAGTCCCTTATTGCTTGCTCTGTCGTTTAGCTCATATTCTCACGAGTATCTCTTGTAAATGTTTTATTTGATTTCTTTATGGTTTGTTATCAAAAGTTATATAAACACCAAACAAATAGTATTTGGTTCGGTTCGAGTTTTTACTAAACCATTCGGTATACAAGAATCTATTACTGTTCAGTTGTTTGGTATATTATCGAATCTAACCAGTTTGGTACAGTTCGGTTAGAGAAAATTGAACCGAATTGCCCACCTTTAAAGTTAGTTACCAAAATGGTCCCTTGACTATAGCGAATTACCAATTTGGTCCTAAGTTAACGGTTGTCTAATGGTCAAACAAACGGAGGACCAAATTGGTTAAGATTTTTAAAGTTGAGGAACTTAATTGCTAAAAAAAATAGTCAAGAATCAAATTGGTAATTTCGCTATAGTTAAGGGAGCATTTCGGTAATTAACTCTTTTTAAAATTACATAAAGTAAATAAAAGATGACATGCGAATATCCATGAGGTATGACAACCACTTGGGAACACTATTGTCAAAATCCGAACTACGCGCAAGCGGGTCGCCTAGCGTATCACCATAATCGGTGGTTTAGGTGGCCGGCTGACTAAGCCGCCTAGTCGGTCAGTTAGCTATTGTTTTTTTTTTAATATGTTATTTCACTCAAAACGACGTTGTTTTGAGTGAAATGACTCTAAATCATTCAAACCCTAGATGTTTTTCGCTTAATATTTACGAAGTAATATTTTAGTATTAACTATTTAAGTACTAAATAATTTATAGGAATAAAGGTGAAATACGTCATCTAACTGCACACAATAATGCAATTACCACTAAACCTAAAAAACCAACAATTGGGTTGTTGGTTTTAGGGTTTTTGGGCCTAGGGAGGTCCAACACAACCGTAGTTGGTGGATTCACCTTTCAAAAATAGAAGGGAATAAGAACTCTTGTGAATATGTGTATGTATTCTCTTGGCATGAACTCGCCGTCCCCTTTACAGTTTCTGAGGAACCCTTTTATAGTGGGTCACCTTGGAATTCATTAAAGCATACATTTAAGGCCGTAAATTGGCCCATTAACTCTCTTTTAACCCTCGGGCCCGTTGGGCGGCCGTTACTGGGCCTCCCACCGGCTCTTTGCCCGTGTCTTCAAAGCAGCTTCTTAAATGCTCCAACGGTCTCTTGGCGCTGGCGTCGACCTCAGGGTCGAGCCGACTCCTTGGCTCGATCTATGCTTCTCTTGGGCCTTCCTTCTTCTGGGCTTGACCCCTCCTTCTCTTTGGGCTTGGCCCCTCCTTCTCTTTGGGCTACTCTTATTCTTGGGCTTCTTTTCTTCTTCCCAGGCTTTGGGCCCGGGGTCCACACCCCATCAACTAGTCCCTCACTTTTCAATATTGAGTCCTTTCTCTTACTCGAATGTTGAAAAGTAACCGCGTCTTTACTGCAAATCACTGGAATCTCTCCCCAATCTTCTTCCTTCAATGGCCGGATAACATCCGGATCCTGCGTGATCTCCATGATTCGCCGGATCCGTTTTAACTCTTTCCTCCACTCCTCAGACTTATAAATAGCGATTTTGCCTTTGGCCTTTCCGCATCCCTCTTGCCAGCTTGGGCCGCTCTCCCATAAAAGGGAAGAAGATCGATTTTGGGTCGCCGCCTCGCCCTCCTCCTTCCAAGCGATCGAGGCTGGAGAAAGGAAAGAATAAGAGTCATAGACACTCCTCTCGAAGGCATCATTTCGGCTCCACCTCCTCTGACTCGCGGATGGCGACTGAGGCCTTGCCTCCGGCCGTGGATTCCTCTTCTCTGACTGATCCTTCGCCCCAGACCAAAACCCGTGTCACGGCCAAAGACGGGACTTTCGTCGAGGTGGCAGTCCCAAAACAACTGGCCTTCAAAATGACCTTCACCATCCCCCTGGATGACCTTGACGGGCCAGCCACTGAGCTTTTGTCGGATGTTGACTTTGCTCGCTATCTCGAGCTATATCCCGACGACGAAGCACCCGTGGTTCCGCCCTTGATGCCGGCCTTCTAGGACTCGGTCTGCCCATCTCCTGCTGGCTCATCGGAAGAGATGACCTTCCTGGACGAGCCCTCCTCGCCGGACGAGTGAATTGCACCACCCGAGGTTTTCTGGCGGCGGAACGTGATGCCAAGTGAGATTCAGTGAGGGACTGTGAGAAGAACCTATATTAGTACAAATAAAGTTCCTCTCTTTCTCAATGTATTGCCCCCCCCCCCCCCCCCCCCCCCGGCCCTTTTTTTTAATAAACTGTGTGGACTTATCTTTTGACTTTGCGTTCTTTTCTCTTCTCTGCACGAAATTATGCTCGTTGTTCATCCGACCCATTGGTCGGTCTCCGCACTGCCCGAGGTCTGACACTCGCGATCTTCCGGTATCTATGGAAGATTTTACTTTTCAGGTCGTGGCAGGAATCTTGCCCTGCCCGAGCGAAATTGATGGGATCTTTCACTGGACGCAGATTCCTGACTTTTATCCCTTCCTTCTTTTCTGCCCAATGATGGCAGTTTTGATTCTTCTCCGCGATTTGCTCCTTAAGATTTGCTTGGCCTAGCTATAAATAAGTCTCTCTTTACTTACCTTCCTCACTTTTTCCTTGACACCACCTGCAGCCGTTATTTCTCTCTTTGCTTCGACATGAGCTATAGAGATGGTGACCGGCGTTTCTCCATCCGTCTGAAAGAGCAGGCTCGGCTGGAGAAACTAAGGCAGCAGAGGCTAGCCCATGGTGGCCACTTGGTGGGTGACACCGGCTCAGATCCCATCGTGGTTCCCCCCGACATGCTGGACGTGATTCCGGTAGACTCAACCGACTAGTGAGTGGATCCGGTGGTGAACGAGCTGCCTTTGGACGAGGAGGAAGTATGGGAAGTTCCTCCGCTCTTCGGGGTGGCCATGTCTCCCAGCGCTCTTGAAAGGTCTCTTCAGATGATTTACGACGGGGAGCCGCCAGTGTATGTGGATGATGTACCGGATCAGGATCCGACTCCGCCTCCTTTCCAGCCCCTACTGTTCTTGGAAGGTCCACCTCCTCCTACTCATCCGACCAATGAGAAGGCTAAACTGTGATCCCGCTTTTTATGCTTCTTAGTTTGTACCGCGACTGTGATGTAGGCTTGTCTGCCTTGATTAATAAACATTCTGTCTTGTTTTCCTTGTTTTCGGAGAAAGAATATTGTCTTGTCAATTTTTTTTTTAATAGCTTTCCTTTTTACCGACTAGACCTTTCGTTGAGGGTAGTCGGGCCCATTTACCTGATTGCAGGGTGGGCAATTCAGTTAAATTTTTTCGAACCGAACTAGTTTGGTTCGGTAATATACCGAACAACCGAACGGTATTGGATTCTTGTATACCGAACTATTCGATAAAAAATCGATCCGAATTATTCGGTAAAAAATTGAACAAAACCGAATACCATTTAATTTTTTTTAAATAATAATAATAATAATAATAATAATAAATAAATAAATAAATAAAAAGTAAATCCAAGTCCCTTATTGCTTTCTCTGTCGTTTAGCTCATATTCTCACGAGTATCTCTTGTAAATGTTTTATTTGATTTCTTTATGGTTTGTTATCAAAAGTTATATAAACACCAAACAAATAGTATTCGGTTCGGTTCGATTTTTACCGAACAATTCAGTTCGGTTCGAGTTTTTACTAAACCATTCGGTATACAAGAATCTATTACTGTTCAGTTGTTTGGTATATTATCGAATCTAACCAGTTTGGTACAGTTCGGTTAGAGAAAATTGAACCGAATTGCCCACCTTTAAAGTTAGTTACCAAAATGGTCCCTTGACTATAGCGAATTACCAATTTGGTCCTAAGTTAACGGTTGTCTAATGGTCAAACAAACGGAGGACCAAATTGGTTAAGATTTTTAAAGTTGAGGAACTTAATTGCTAAAAAAAATAGTCAAGAATCAAATTGGTAATTTCGCTATAGTTAAGGGAGCATTTCGGTAATTAACTCTTTTTAAAATTACATAAAGTAAATAAAAGATGACATGCGAATATCCATGAGGTATGACAACCACTTGGGAACACTATTGTCAAAATCCGAACTACGCGCAAGCGGGTCGCCTAGCGTATCACCATAATCGGTGGTTTAGGTGGCCGGCCGACTAAGCCGCCTAGTCGGTCAGTTAGCTATTGTTTTCTTTTTAATATGTTATTTCATTCAAAACGACGTTGTTTTGAGTGAAATGACTCTAAATCATTCAAACCCTAGATGTTTTTCGCTTAATATTTACGAAGTAATATTTTAGTATTAACTATTTAAGTACTAAATAATTTATAGGAATA